GGAAGAGCCGCCGGACTGGCTGGCGGAGCAGATCTGAGCAGCTGCAGCCAGAGCCATGCCGTGGACGGGGCCAGCAGCAGGGATCTGGCACAGCCCACGCACAGTTATTATACCTGGGGGGACAATCACAGCCCTTGCAGAGGGATCTCTGACTACAAGGACTGCGCAGACCACAGGATGGATGGACAGACAGACAGACAGGGCTCTCCAGCCTGCACAGCACTCACAGTTTACTTCTGTCTAACTAGGGGCTGTGCTGCTGGGTGGCTCCGGGAGGGCCCCTCTCAGGTGCTCTTCTCCATGAGCTGCGGGCAGTCCAGCCAGTACTGGGCGATGGAGCGCGGGTAGCGGGGCTGCACCAGGTCCACGCGCTTGGTGCGCAGGTTGACGCGGTAGTATTTGTCTGGGAGGAAGGGGAGATGGCTGTTAGGACTGCCCGTGGGGCAGAGCTGCGGAGAGCTGCCAGCCCTCGCTGCCAGCCCTGGCTGCCAGCCACTGGCACCTTCCCACCGTGTCTTAGAGCTCGGGGACATCGCAGAACGAGAAGAGACCTCCCCCTGCCTCGGCAGCCCCAGGGGGTCCCAGTCCCACACCTCTCCCAGATCCTGCCGCCCCAGACTCACCTCCTACAAAGAAGTAGACGCTCTGGAGGGTCTCGCACTGGGAGCCCGACAGCCAGTCGCTTTCAACACCCATGGAGTCAGAGTCATTTTGCAGCCAGCTCCAGAAACCCAAATTCAGTGACCGGTGGCTCTTGTACCTCTTGCGCTGGCGGCGAGACTTCCTCCTCCGAGGCTGCTGAGAGGCCACGTAGATCCTGCCAGCCATGGCAGCATCCAGCCGGCTGGGCACCCCCCGCCAGTCTCTGCTGATGTACCGCGGGCTGCTCGCCCCGCCTGGCAAAGAGACAGAGGGCGAGTTAGAGGGGCAGCAACGTATAGGGGTGAGCTGAGCCCAGACCCACAGACAGCCCCCAGCACCTGCTCCGAGACCCAGGGGGATGCTCCAAAGGGTCCCAGCCTGGATGGCATGCGTGATGGGGACTCTGGCAGGGCAGAGCTGGGATCTCCAGCCCCACGTTGCCTGCGATCAGCCCTGTGCTGCTGAGCCCCCCCTCTCCATCTTTCATTTCTCTTGCCCCATTTCTCTTTCCTATGGCTTCTCTAGCTCCAGTGGGAATAAACAGTCCCCAGCAGCAACGCTGTTGTGCAAGGTGGCTGGTGATGGGCTGGGTAGTGTGGGGCATAAGGGCCACAGAGGGTGGGATATGGGATGCTGTGGGAGATGCAGCCATGGCCTGGATGTTCCTGTGCACAGCATGGCGGCTCATCCAGCCTGCCCACATTCCCAGGCATCGCACCCTCCTCCCTGGGTGCCTGCACCCCTCATGCCCTGTGAGTGCAGGCTATAGGGGCACCCGACGGCCCTTTCTGCCAGGGCTGGCCCAACCCTTACTTCTCCTGCTGCCAAAGAGGATCTGGAAGACATCCTCCCAGCTGTCGCGGTTCATGAAGGCGTAGTGGCCAAACACGGCCGAGGGGGAGGACTTCTCGCAGTCGGCCTGGGTGGGCTGGTTGGCGAAGTCATAGGACCAGTAGTACTTGTCTAGGAGAGGATGCACAGGGCATTAGCAAGAGAATACACAGGGCATTAGTGGGGAACAGGCACTCAAGGGGGAGCAGCAGCTAGAGGACACTGCATCCTGCCCATGGCTGCTGGTGCCAGGCTCTGCCCGGGAGCAGGGGGCTGCACCCCTTACCCTTGAAGAAATAGACTCTCTCATTGCCATGGTAGCTGTGTGCAGGGAGCGCAAAGGCTGCATCAATGCTGTTCGGGATGCCTTCAAAGCCCTCAGAGATGTCGCGCGGGTACCCGGGGTCCAGGACTCCATCATCAAAGCGCCAGTACTGGCTGCCCTGGGGGATGCGGGAGAAAGGAGGGGTCAGGAGGCTGGATGTGGCATCTCTCAGGTGAGGGTTTGCCGGGGGGAGTGAGCATTGGGAAGCTCTGTGGTGAGGCTGTGGCTGGGCGGGGGCCC